CCCTTTGGCTGACCTTTACCGGCTAGGAAATTTTAAATTTCCCCAGACTTCCTCTAAGCTGGGGGTGGTTAGGTGACTCTTCTGACCAGTGAGACCTGTGTAGGCTGATTCTAGGGATCTTTATACGGCTTCCACCTCTTCTTTCCCCGGGAGGCGTGTGAGGCCTAGAGATACACCACTGCCACTAAAAGGGACAAAGTGAGTACTTGGAAGGAGCCCAGATCCTGGATATAATCTAGCTTCGCATTGTTGAGCCCTGAAATTCTTGCTGAACAAGATAAATTAATCCCTATTTTGTTCAATCAGGGTAGCCGTTTTTTTTTTTTTTTTTTTTTTTTTTTTTTTTTAATGCAGCTAAACCCAACCCTAATTGGTTCACAGACCTTGAAAAAGCCATAGGATTTCAACAAGTACAGGGAGGAAAAAAAATGGTATGAGCAAAGAAAAACTTCAGATGAGGACAATGCCCGTGTGCTCTTGGCAGAGCCAGGGGAACACAGAGGTTGATGGGAAGCAAGGCTGAGAAAGGCAGGCAGGGGTTGGTGACAAAAGGTGGGGAGTAACCTGATGAGGGCAAGTGAGATGGCCCTAAAGATGGCCTGATGTCCGTAGATAGAACCCCACAACCCACATGGGGGAAGAAGAGAAGCGGCTCTCCAAAGCAGGTGGCCCTCAACCAAGCCCATTTTGGCTGCTGTGTGGTATTGCAATCTCCGAAGAAGCCTTAAGTTTTGAAAAAGAGTTTACAAAGTGGCCAGGGAAATCCTCAGATTCAAATCTATCTCCTAACACCAGGCTTTGCAGGTGTTTGCAGAATAAAGAAATGGGAGTGTCTGAGACGTGGCGAAACGTTGTTGGGAGTAAGGAAAACATCCGTGGTCTGCGCATGCGTAATTAACCTGCACCGCAATTTGTAAGGTACACGCTCAGGGCAGCAATGGCTGGAGTTTGATCTGAGTGTTTCTGACCTTCCGACGCCAATGATTACCCAGCTGGCGCCCGTAAAGACCCAAGAGATCAGTGGCTGTGACCTACCTGAGCTAAACAAGGCTATCTCCACATGCCCCCAAAGAACTTCCAACAGCTCACTTAGTAGTGAGCAAGCGTCAAAGGCATCATCTACTGCACGGCTAGGGAGAATGTAGAGCTTGTCTAAGGAAACAGCTCTTTGTTTGGCTGGCGTTCTTGAGACAGGGTCTTATGATGTAGCCTCAAAGTTTTGAATCTCCTGCCTTGTCTCCTGAGAACTCAGATCGCAAGCTTGCGCCACCCTGTCTAACTGCTTTAAGCAACTTCTTCAATCAGTGATTAAAACATAGGAAGCAGGGGACTTAGCCAAGTTTTCAAATTTCAAAAGAAAGAATGTGCCTTTTGGTTTTTAAACTTTAATTAGGGAGGAAGAATGGTCCTAGCCTTGTACAAGAGGGAAAAAAATATTAATTTCGTTATGGGGACTTGGCTTCACCAAGGAGGAATTAGTGGGAGAAGTGAGCTGGCTGCTCCTGGAAGCTGAGGGTAGTTCCTACACTCTTAACCCCAGGGGCAAGGCCAGTGAGCCCTAGGTGAGTGAGCCCTAGGCCGCACCTCAAGTCTCACAACAGCCAGCAGCAGGTGGAGCAGCTGCTGTGAGCCTGGAGCCAGAGTGGGTGGCTTCGCTCATTCTGATCTGTGGGTACACACATTACATCTCTGCTCGCATGGGCCACAGCAACCACAATACCGCAAGCTCGCTTGCATCCCGAAGGCCCGGCTTGCAGGGTGCCAATTTCCTCCCACTACCAATTACTAGGCTGGCAAACCACAGCCACCGAGCCCAGCCCTCTGGCTTCTACAGAGAGTGCTCCTTTAACTGCAGCCCTGAACAGGCCACACACATCATCCCCAAGAACGGCCAAAGATGGACGGGATAAGACAGATGTGTATAGAAATAATGCGTATGTGGTCTGAGGTTATGGAGAGGGGTGCAGAGAATGAAGAATAACTCAGGCCCTGTTCCACAGCCACAAGGAAGACATCTTTGCATAGTTCCATCTGTTCATCCTTCTCTTTCTACTCACCAATGCCACCTCCTTAGGTCCAACCAACCTCAGATCAATAACATATGAGCAAAAAAATTATCATCTGTATTGGACACATGCATATTTTCTTTCTTGTCATGCTCCCCAGAAATACAGCAAAGAACTAGCTATGTAGGACATACATTATACTGGACAATAAATTTCATCAAGACTTGATGTGATACATACAGAAGAACATGCATAGATTATTATAAGTGTATTTATTATTTATATATTGTATGTGTACTTGTGTCTGCCATACATATGCAAGCATAAGAAGTATACAGGAGAATATGCATAGATTATTTTACATGTATTTATTATCTATTTATTGTGTATGTACTTGTATGCACACACATGTGCAAGTATATGAACTACACAGTGGAATATGCATAGATTATTTTACATGTATTTATTATTGATCGTATATGTACTTGTGTGTGTATACACACGCAGGTCAGGGAACGACTTGTCAGGGTTGTGTCTGTCCTTCCATAATGTGGATTCTGGGGATCAAACTCTGGTTATCAGGCTTGGCAGCAAGTGCCTTTATCTACTGAGCCATCTTTCTGGCCTTACACACGTGATTTTTATATAGGCACATAAGCATTGCAGACTTGGGCATCTGCAAATCCTAAGCTATTTGCCATGGACAAGCAGAGGCAGGTTTATGTGCTTCTCTGATTTAGACATTGGAAACTCGGATGAAGGGTAAGAGTGTAACAAAAAAAGAAAAATTCTGGTGTCACCTTGCTGTGTGAGAAAACAAACAAACAAACACAAACAAAACCATGCCTCAGCTTCAGCTCCACACCCCGTAAGTACTCACTTGGCCACTGAAAAGTTTAGACCAAAGAGACAAAAGCCTCAGCCTCTTCAGAAGTGTTCTGCTTTCCTGGACAGTGGCATGGACCTGCAATCTCAGCACTTGGTAAGTAGAAGTATGAGGGTAGTGAGTTCAAAGCTAGCTTAGGCTGCTTGGTGAGACCCTACCCCCAAAGGGGGAAGGCCATTGTTAGGTACTTAAGGGGTACAATGCCCTGTTTTTATACATTCTTACATTGTAGAATAATTCAAAATATTAACAAATTCATCATATCATGTAATTGCCATTCCTTGTAACAAGAACATTGGAAATCTACTTTCAGCAATTTTGAAATATATGGCACCTTGCTAACAAAAGTCATCCTTCTGTACCACAGGTTATTATAGCTTATTTATCCAGTCCGACTGAAACTTGGAGCCCTGAAAGAACATTCTGGTGTGACCTGTCCTGGGAGCCCACTTGGTGCTTCCAGGACAAGAATCCTAGCTAGGAGTATCTTCTCTGAACAGCTCATATACCAGGCGATCAAGGTGTGACCCTCTCCTGGGAGCCCACTTGGTGCTTCCAGGATAAGAATCCTGTTGTCTCCAAGAAGAACCTCAGGGCATTTTTACAGGATAGATGAGTGAGCTTCTTTGACTGTTTTACGCTAAGGGTGTTAGAAAAGAAGTGGCGATGTTCTCAGAGCCGTACCACAGCAAAAATGAGCACCATGCTTAGCAACCAACGGCACATCGCCAAAGCAAATCGATGTGCCAAGCTCCAGGCAAGTCCCCTAGAGGAGAGAAAGGCTAAGTTAGTGCATTTCAAAGTATCAGCTCGGGGCAGAGAGATGGCTCAGAGGTTAAGAGCGCTGACTGCTCTTCCAGAGGTCCTGAGTTCAAGTCCCAGCAACCACATGGTGGCTCACAGATATCTATAATGAGATGTGGTGCCCTCTTCTGGCCTGCAGACATACATTCAGGGAGAACACTGTATACATAATAAATAAATAATTCTTTTTTTTTAAATCAGCTATTTTTTATAGACGTGGTTCTGTTAGATATTAGTAACATTCTATGAGAAAATGGGCATCTGATCAACACAAAACAAAACAAACACCTTAAGAAATGCTAAGTTTACAACCCATTGACCCAGAGAGGTTAGGCAGAGAGGAAGGGACTGGGGGATGGATGGATCTCCCTAGGATGGGGGGATTAGGATTGACTTTATAGATGGATTGGCGGCAGGAAGGCTGGGAATGGAAGGATTAAGTGGGGAAGGAAGGAGAAGGGAGATGGAATTGAAGGAGAGAATATAGGGAAAGACAGCTAGAATTAAAGGGCATTTGAGTGGTGGTATAGAAACTTCCCAAAATATATGAAGGTTATCCTGATGAAGTCTCAAATATAAGGGAGATGGAGTCCCAACCAGCCATCTTTTGTCACCAAATAAAGCTGCCAATATAGGACTGGATTACATCCAATTGAGTTGTTGGCCAAAGGGGTCCCATGGAAATCACCAAATAATCCACAGTAATATATTGTATGGGAAAAAATCTATTTTTAATAAAGGGGGGAAAGAAATGCTAAGATTTCTCTATATCTCCCTCTTTACCATGTAGACATTTAGCCTAGGCAAAACATTGAGAACACTCTAATGAAGACATATGCTTAGCTTTGTGTGACCTGGAATTTCTCAAAGTACTTATCATGGAACTGTTTTTAGAAAACACATATAAGCATAAGTAGAGTTTATGAAACACTGATTTCAACCAAATAGTTTTTACAGTGGAGTTTTAACTTATAAACCTATGAAGGGCCACCTAGGACCAAACAGCAGGTAAGGGAGGGTAGATGGAAGGTTGAGGCCAAGAGTCAAAAGCTATCATGATTCTGGAGCCTTCTGACCAAAAGTCCTGTGGACTTGAACACTCTCACTTTTATTCCAGCACCCTCAGGCCAGAAAGAAAAACTTGCATGCTTACAAGGTGAATCTGGCTCCAATAGCCTTTATGCACGTCTTCTGAAGTGTACTGCCGCCTGACAAATACACGACAATTTTACACCGTTACAGAATTGTATCGACACAATACGAGAAATTTCAGGCACTTAAATGTTCAAATGAAAAATCCTTACATGGGAGCTCAGAAAAATATGCTGTTGTTCCTCAGATAGATTCTGGTACCCTGGCAGCTTGTTTGCAAACTCCAATTTTCATCTGGAGACAGAAGAGCCAAAACCAAAAGTCATAAGATGTCACAGCCAGGGCACATCAAGGTTCTCAGCATGTGATTCGTGGAGTAGCAAGATCATAGACATCATTATCTACCAAGGGAGAACTGCCTGAGAACAGCACATCTCTGCAACAGAATACCAGGACCCCAGACTGGAATGGAACTTAGTAGAGACCTTTCAAAGTGATGCCCTGTATGGAGAAAACAAAGCAGAAAAGGATAGGGGTAAGGAGAGAAGAAGACACCCAAGAAAGCACAAATAAAAGACAAAAGAGAATTTGCAGAAAAATACCTACTCATAGCCACAGTCTCGGAGCCAGGATAACAAAAGCTGAGGGAAGAACCAGCAGTGGGCTGAGGAAGAAGAAAAGAGAGAGTTAGGCGGTAAGACCCCAGGACCGGGCAGCCAGCTGTTATGGAGGGGCTAGTAGAAGTTACGAATAACTTCGGCAGCAGATGAGACACCAGAGTGGTTAAGTAGCACAGAGCATGCAGGAGACAGAACCCAAAGATGAGGATGGCGGTGAGCTCAGGTTTAGACACGCTAGGTTTGAGGGATCTTCAGCTCTTAGCAGAGATGACCTACAGAAGTGTGAGCACAGAATTTATGATACGTAGTCCGTTACCATCCACTGCAAACTACTAGATCCTCTCTGTGCTGGACGGAGTTGAGGCAGGAGAGAAAGGCTGGGAGAACCGTGGTGACATGGGAAGGACATCTGGAAAAAGAAATGAGGCCTTTCATCTCGGGGTGTGGTGGGAAAGACCAGGGATGCAAGAGCCCCCAACTCTGCTTCATACTTGCTTGGCCCGAAATTCTTTCTTCAGCAAAGCCATGGATCCTGGTTTTGTGTCAATGGCGGTCCCTACGAGGAAAGGGAACTCTCTGGATGGGTGCAGGGGACAGGATAGACCTGGGCCTCCACCCCTATCTATTCCTATTAGTAGTTAATACAGCAGGCCTGAGATTGCTGTCCTTAGAATGATTTAGCCGTGAAAGAATGGCCCTGGCTGCCACCTGGAAACTTGCCTGTATGGAGACGCACAGGTGAACAGTGCTGTACACCTGTATGAATGTGGCTTATGCTAAGTATCAGCTTTCCTTCTAAAATGTGAGAAATCTGAAGGCTGCCAAGGAGAAAGCATCTCCGTAACTAGCCCGATAATGTATACTGCGTACCAAGACTCCAATGAGTGTCACTGGGAGGAACCATCTGTCACAAGCTGTCATGATTTATTGTTTAAGAAATGAGCCACGTCTTTATGGGATTCGACTGAAAGAGAATCCTCGGAGGCCACTTCCTGGCTTTCTTTAGACTTTGCTTCCCCTCACTGTTTGGGTTCCCCTTTATTGATGTCTCATTGGGTCCTTTAACTGGAATAAACCTTTGCCTCCAGCTAAACTGTTACTATATTCCGTGTTCCAGGTCGTTCTAGTGAATTACAAACCCAAAGAATGAACTTGGGGACATCCCTTCTCTCAGATGGAGGTGAGGTGAGAGAGACTCGGACACTGATCCTGCACGGCTTCCCTGCTCTTTGCTGGTCATCCAAATCTTCCCACTATGGCCCCAAATGAAGATATAACTTGGAATGTTTGAGAAAAGCCCGGAGCATCTTATGCGAAGGGGGTTGTGTAAGAGAGGTGTGATCCCACAGCTCCGATGGCCTGTGACTGAGCCCTGGGAGCTCTGCTGCATGCCTCGACCTGAGCGGCTCAGCTCTGGGGCTTGAACAAGATACTGGATGATGACTCTGTGGCCTGTAAGTGCCTATTAATTCTGACAGTCTGCGACTCTGTGGCTGCTCCGGGTTGGACTAGCTTGGGATTCTCCTGAGAGCCATCCCAGAGGAGGACACAAAGGTGGATGGTCACAAAGCCAATAAAAGGAGGCACAAAGAGAACCTTCCACCCTGGCTGGCATCCAGCGCAGCCCCATTACCATGTGACGAGTGGAGAATGACGTGACGTGCTGGGGACTTTTGATCCTTATTATCCCCGTGCTGTCCAGGTCCAGCACCTGCTCCTTCTCCCAGCCAGGCCCTGGCTCCAGGGGTCTCAGTCATGAAGGTGTGTCAGGGAGGAGCCGCCAGACAAGCAGTGCTTCCTGTGCTGGCACTTTAGACAATGCCAAGGATGCCACCCTGAGAATGGGGAGGTACGGTGGCCTTTTTATGTCACGGGTTTTTTTGTTTTTGCTGCCACGCCTTATACTATATTATCATGAGCTGGGGTAACGACACCGCTCGGCAAGCCCTTCATTGTCCACTCCATCCCTCAAGAGATTGCCTTCCTTCCCTTGGTTGGCATTAGCCACGGTATTTGTAGCTTTTATTATTTCCAGAATATTCTTCAGTCCTCCCAGGAAAGTCACCAGCCGCCTGATTCTGCTACAAAGGGGAGCACTTTGTGTTAAGGAAGTATGGTTTCCTTCCAGTGCTTAAAAATGTAGGCTGCTGTTTCCCACATTGCCAGAAACGACCTAGGTCTAAGCTTTCCCTAGAATCTGGGTCTCTTGGAAGTTTACTAAAAACTTTCTATTTTCTTCCCTGTTTCGCCTCAATTCTATTTCCATTTAAACTAGAATCATGGTTCCATCCCTCTGAAGAGCAATCATGGTTCTAAACCATTATGGTTCAGAAAGGCTAAGTTTCAAATGTCAGCAGAAGTCTAGCGCCGGAAGCAGTCTCATGAGCACCTTCCTTCAGTACGGTGTCCTTTCTCTAACATCAGAGATCCATGTCTGGGGGTCCACTGCAGTCTACTGCAGCCTGCCAGAGACGATATCTAAACTCATGAAAATACTTCTCTCTCTGTCTCTCTCTGTGTGTCTCTGTCTGTTTCTCTCTCTGTCCCTCTTCATCTCTGTTTCTCTGTTTCTCTTTCTCTCTATCTCTATTTCTCTGTCTCTCTCCCTGTCTCTCTCTGTGTGTCTCTGTTTCTGTTTCTTTCTCTCTTTGTGTCTCTGTCTCTCTCTCTCTCCCTCCCTCTCCTCTTTCTTCTTCTTTTACTCTATAGTTTAGTAGACTAGCCTGGAATGTACTATGTAGCCCAGGATGTCCTCACACACACAGAAATCCCTCCCCACTCAGCCTCCCAAATGCTAAGATTATAAGCAAAAGCCACTTCTGGATATACTCTGACTCTGGACCAAAATGAGGCCATGTTTGTTTGTTTTTTAAGTTTATTTGTTTTTCTTTAATTGGTTGAGAATTTCATATACGCATGTACTGTGTTTTGATCAAGTCTATCCCGTTCCCTCCCCTTCAACTTCTCCCCACTGTTACCATCACCATCCCCTACCACGTGTATTCTCTCTCTTTTTATAAAACTCACCAAGTCCACTTACTGCAGCCAGTGTGGACAGGGGTGTAAAGCCATCTCCTGAAGAAAGGGTAGTCCCTCTGGAGCCAGATCCCTGAAGAAAACACTGTCCCTCCCTTAGCAGCCATCAATGGCCAACAATTGGAAGCCGCCTTGTTATTTCTACATAACCTTAGAAAAGCCAGTTAATAATCTTTCTGAAAGTTGTTTTCTTATCCATAAGATGGAGTCCTCAGAGGATGAAATACAACTTTTGTTTGCCACACTGGGTGGGCCTCAAGCCTTCTGCATAGCAAATCCTGTAGAAAAGGTGTTTTGAGCCTTCAGTTCTCAGTTTCTGAAGCTCGGCTTTGGGAAGTTCCAGAGCACTGAGTTCTGCTTTTCCTTCAGTTTCTCTGTCTTGTGTTTTATTGACTTGTTTTTTTGTTTCATTTCCCATGGCCTGTTACTGTGGGCTTTCTGACCTGTACTGCAACCATTCTTCAATACTTTTCCCTTACCCATCCTTTCTCATTCATTAAAACTGTTTCCTTTTGCCAGGTGGTGGTGGCGCACGCCTTTAATTCCAGCACTCGGGAGGCAGAGGCAGGCGGATCTTTGTGAGTTTGAGGGCAGCCTGGTCTACAAGAGCTAGTTGCAGGACAGGAACCAAAGCTACAGAGAAACCCTGTCTCAAAACCAAACCAAAACAACAACAATAACAAACCAAAACCATTTTTTCTTTCTTTTAGACAGTCTTAGTTAGCCCAGGGTGGCTTTGAACTTCCCAGCGATGCAATCAAGGATGACTTTGGACTTCTGACCCAGCTGTCTCTACCACCCAGGTTTGAAGACCAGCGTCATGAATTCCCATGCTCAAATGGCATGTGCAGGAGACTGAGCCCAGTGCTTCCTGCGTGACAGGCGAGCACTCTACCTTCTAAACTGCATCCTCGGCCCCTCACGCATCCTTCACATCTCTTCAGGCCACCAGCTCACATCTACAGTGAGATTTACAGATCACAGACATCATTCTCATGTCAGAAAAGGCACCTTAAGTTTTTGTTTCTGTGGGTGAGTCACTGGCATTTGAAGATTAACCAAAGGTTCTATGAGAAGGTTGTTTTCTGACTTAGTTCTAAGTTTTTAATACATGGAAAGGAGGCTCTAAAGTCAACTGAAGTCAATCTATAGAACCACTTTCCTTTTTCTCCATAAGCCACGTGCATACTAAATGTTTCTTCCCCTGAATTTCTTTCTGTTCAGGTTCCACCCCTTCTGCTAGAATAGCAATGACGCACTATTTACTCGTGTGATTTTCCAGGATCCGCAAGGGGGAAATACGCATGGAAACCCTACCGCAAATCTAACCACAAAAGCTCCAAGATGAGGCAAAATGCTCTAAATGTTAGATTCAGAAATCTGTCCGGGTTGGCCCTCGGAGAAATGCAAATGCAGACCATAAGGAAACATCCATTCGCACTCCCTAGGATGCTGATCATCAGAAGGACAGATGGGGAAGTTGACAAGCTTGTGGAAAAACTGCAGGCGGACATGGAAAGCTGTGTAACCACTTTGGAAAACAGGCTGGTGGCTCCCTGAAATGTTGAACACAGTGTAGTCACATGATGTGTTAATTTCACTCCTAGGTAGGTACCAGATGAAAACGTCCACAGCAACCTGCACATGAATATTCATGCTGGCACTGTTCAAGACAGAGAGGAGAAGCAGTCCAGGCAACCATGAGAGGATCAGCAGGGAAGAAAAACTGATCTAATCATATAACGTGATATTATTTGTAAATGAAAATGATAAAAGGAGCATGGGGCAGTAGCAACATCAAGCTAAATGAACGAAGCCAATTACAAATGTACTATTCTGCTCTTTTCATATGAAATCTTCAGACTGGACAAAGTGATAGAGACCCAAAATAAATTAGTGGTTGCTTAGGTCTGAGAGTGTCGGGGAGAAATGGAGGTGACTACTAATGAGAATGTCCTAAAGTTATTCGTGACAGTGGCTGTGCTCTGAATCCTAAAAAGCACGCAACT